TCGATCTGGACGGTTCAGCCCCAACCAAGACCTCGCAGCATTGAGGCTGGTCCTCTTCGAACCAGTACTTAGTACTGGTCCGGCCTCACTTCGAGGGATCGACCCACCGGCGGTATGGTACGGCGCAAAGAGCACTGGCGCTATGTTTAGCGCAGGAGCACGAGGAGCAGCGCAGCGCAGCATTAGCGCAGCAGCAGCGAGCGGAGCAGATAGCAGCAGCGACTGAGCGTATCGGCGGCCATAGCCGCCTGAGGTATTGGGAGTCGGAGGTTTCTCTCCTCCCTCCCATCGCCAGTCCCCTCTCTCTCTCTCTCCTCCTCGGCTCCCTTCTTCTTCTTTTTCTTCTCTTCAGACTTCATCTTCTTCTTCTTCTTCTTCTCTTCAGACTTCATCATCATCTTCTTCTTCTTCTTCTTCTTCAGACTGGAGACTTATACTAGTTGGACAGAGATCAGAGTTGGACTTCGGTGGTAAGAAGCTGTGGTACTTACCGGATTCAAGACTCGGAGATTGTTGGGGATGATACTCGGCTGCATCACAGATTGGACACCGGTTACATTAGGACTCTGTATCTCCGACATAGGTAACTTATTGTCCGCAACATTTGATCTTGTTCGATGACATTTTGGATTACCATACCGGTGACCTACTGGTTTTCTATCTCGGTGACATCTGGTGCTACCTATGTCTCCCACCTCCTTCGTCTCTCCTCCCACCTCTCATCTGTGTATGTGTGTACGAGGTCTCGGCATCGTCTATGCTTGGCCCAGACCCCACCATCTCACGATTGTATGTGTGTGGAGTGATATCTGTGTGAGTCAGTCAATGTGAGTCAGTCCGTCTATCAGACTTCCGCTGCATATATGCTCATCCTACATTGGTTGATCTTTGGTTCTGCCCATACTCNGTGTGAGTCAGTCAATGTGAGTCAGTCCGTCTATCAGACTTCCGCTGCATATATGCTCATCCTACATTGGTTGATCTTTGGTTCTGCCCATACTCATTGAAGTATGTAACAGTTTTGGTATCGGAGCAGACCATATAACGGATCTGCTCACAAAGGTAAGTCTGATTAGGAATTAGATTGCTTCTTCAATCTTCCAAATCAGCTTTGTATTACTATCAAGTTCAAAGTTGCAAATTTTTTCTTTTTTTCGGTATTCTATTTATTTCGACATTTCCGTTTCAATTCGGTATTCGGACTTATAATTCGGATTTCTGTTTTATTCCGGTATGCTGTTTCTTTAGGTTCCGATTAATGGATACTAATCCGATAATTTGGTAGGTTCGGATTTCTGATGTTAAAACGTGATTAGGGTTGAATCAGTATCCGTTGAAATTCGGCATTCTGATTTTCTATTCAGCATTCCGTTTTTGTGTTCGTCACTATTGGAAAGTAGGGTTATGAAAATTTTGGTTGTTCGATCAAGTTGGGAATTTCGAACGTTTTGGAACCGTAATACTGAAAATTCCGCGGAAACGCGAAAAATTAGGGTTGGGCCCAAAATTTTCGCGAAATTTTTTTTCGTTCCCCTTGTTGGAGAAATTCCGAAAACGGATTTAGGCCTTTAAAAATCGGATTTTGACGGTGGAAATTCCCGAAATTTCACGTTTTTGAAAATTCGAGTGTTTGTTCTCCGGATTTTTTCCGAAAATTTTGTTGGCAAATTAATCCGAATCTGACCCTCAAGATTTGGACTTCCCGGTAGTTCACTAATTAACGGTGAACTCCCGGACCATCATTGATCTCAAAGGATACCTGATCTTGATACAATTCAAATTTGTTCCTTATCATTATTACAAATATTGTTTATTGATTATTATTAAGAAATCTTTATTGCAAACATTGTTTTATTGATTATCATTAAGAATTATTATTTCGTTATTAATCATTAATTAATTTTATTGATTAAATAATTCGTTATTATTTCTTCTTATTATGAATTTTTGAGTTGTTTACGGGAAAATTATTTTTTTCTGTTTTGATTAGGTGTCTACAGTCCATCAGTGGGACAGGGGACTGTATGCGAATTGATTGATTGTTCTACCCCTGTTCCCACTCTCCCTACCCTCCCCGTACTCTGTGACCACCGGGACCTCTCAAGCACCACATCAGTTCATACTGATGTCAATGGAACAGGACACCGGGGCACTGCCACGACGCAGTGCCAGGCTTGCAGTTCGTACCCGCCCTGTGGTACCTCCAAGAACCAAGCGACTCAGCAAGCGGAAAACTCCAGCAGCATCAAGTACAGCAATGATAGTACCAGTTACCACCAGGGTTCTTCCCGCATGCCCGGTCCAAGGGGCCGATGAGCCGTTGGCAGCTTACCTTAAGCGGGTACAGGCATTCACAGATGCCGTAGCTACCGCAAGGCACATGAGGAGGCAGCAGAGGCGGAACGTCAGCGGCTGGCCAGTGAGGCGGCAGCCCAAGCTCAGCAGACTGCTGAGGCTGATGCCGTGGTGCGAGATAAGCGGAACGCCATTTGCATGGAGTCCTTGACTATGAATGAAAGTCAGTGGACGACACTGCTCCAAGGCATGCTGTTTGTGCCTTCGGATACACTGGCGGATCCGACACCGGCGGAGATAGAAAGGAGCAACCTGGCTAACCTGATGATGAATATGATGCGAGCGATCATGTGGAACAATACGATGTTAATGGTGCAAATACACGAGGGCAGACAGCTGCGACAGTTTCAGCAGAATGATTCTGCAGCCTTAACAACTGTTGTTCGCGCTGCCACCACACATCAGCAACAACAGCAACAACTGTTGAGCACCACCACCGCACGCGTCAACAACATCGAGGCTAAGGCCTCATCAGGGTCAGGCTGCACGACAGACGAGACGAAGCAGCTCAACGGGCGCATCGATCATGTCGTCAATCTCATCGGTGACATAAGTGTTTTCAATAGGCCGGACACGATCAGTAGCACGATGGCCGCCATCAAGACGGACGTCACCAGGCTGCAGACGAGACCGGACGCCGCTACGAAGACTTACAAGATGCCGCACTTCGACATCAGCAAGTTCGACGACTACAACAAGTCGGATGCCTTAACATGGTGGCAACGTTTCCTCACGGAAGCATCATGCCGCACTGTCCCGACGGACGACATGACGAAGGCGCTCTACTTGCAACTGATTGGAGGAGCGCAAGCATGGATGAACCATCTGGCGGCTACCAAGAAATGCACCATCGCCAAACTCCACACGCACATTCCGTGGAAGGAGTTCGAGCAACTGTGGTTCACTCGCTTCATGGTCCGCAACGTCGTGAAGGCGGCCATGAACGAAGTGTACACATGCTCACAAGGGAGTATGCCAACTCGAGACTGGACAACCAAGTGGCAAAAGATAGTGCCCATGCCAGGCTTCGATTTGAGCTTTACCTATCAACGATCCGAGTTCTTCTCGCGATCATGCGCAGGACTGCGAACCGCACTCGGCAACGAGTACGATTACGCCTCATTCCAGGCTATCCTGGATCGTGGGAACTTGGTCATCCAAACGGACGACAAGGCCGCAAACGAACGGCAGTCCCAGCAGCATTATGTGGCTAAGCCGAGCTATCAACGACCGACACATAGCAATGCCGTGATTTCTGAAGAAACAGTCGATCTCCACGCTGCAACAACATCCTCGAGTGATGGAGGAATTGTAGCAGCGCTTCCGCCGAAGCGTCCCAAGAGAGTTCGGAAGAACAAGGCGACACAAGAGACGGCATCGATGGGAACTGGGCAGCAGCCATGGACGGCTTACAAGATAACCAAGGATGTCTATCACCTTCGTCAAAAGTACGGATACTGCCTTTGGTGCAGTGCAATCGAGTCACTCATTTGACCGCACAATGCCCCGAAAAGGGCAAGGCACGCGTACCCCGTCCAGCAAACTCGGAAAGCTGAGCTACGCAAGGAGAGGGGCGACGTCTCTCCTCACTACCGGGGAGCATGCGTTAGTCGCTGATTCTCGTGCTACGTACGAGGATTATGCCGCCCAGCTGGTACCACCACTAGACCAGCAGAGCCACGTGCACTTAGATCGCGTATGCGCAGCCTGTACACCGTCGGCAAGTGATCCGGTCAGCTCGCCACTGATTTTCGAGGACTCGACGGCGTGGTCAAGACTTGAGGAGCTTGACCCGCTCACGAGAGAGGACTTCGCTTGGGTGCCTCTACCCYCGACCGGAACCTTGCCAAGGCCGCATTGCAACGCCTTAATGGCAAATCTACGCTCCTATTTGCACACTACAGTACCAACTCCGTTGACGGACGACGGAGTAGCGGTTGTCGATCTCCGCTCCTATCTTGCGAAGATTGACCGCGAGTACGCCACCCAAAGGTACGCCGAAACCGACGCACCTTTCCTCTATATCCGCATTCAAATCGGAAAGGCAACCTGTAGTGCCTTGATTGATTGCGGAGCGTCTCGCAACTTTATGAGCCAAGCCTTTATGCCCCGCGCAGGTCTTGGCCCGCGCGTTTGAAGGAAGACGCAACCCACGCAAGTTACACTCGCGGACGGCCGCACGCAAAAGTTGATTGACCGATGCGTCGACGGCGTTCCGGTATACTTTGCGCCACTTGCGTACGAGCCGGTGTCTTTTGACATCCTCGACACCAAGTTCGACATGATTCTAGGCATGTCTTGGTTGCGTAGCGCCGATCATCCGGTGAACTTCCATGACCGAACCGTTCACATCCGTGATCGGAACGGAGTGTTAGTCCCATGTACGGTCGCGACCCCTCACACTTCGATTGTTTGTCACGTGGTTTCCGTTGCGAGAATTCGCGACGCCATAGCTCAGAATGACGTCGAGGAGATGGGCGTTGTATTCTTGCACGCTCTCCCCTCGCCGGACGGACCAGCCGCGTCCCCGCCGTACCCACGCATCACTCACCTCTTGGACGAGTATGGAGACGTCTTCGAGGCGCCCACCGGAACGGTTCCGGATCGGCCCGTATGTCACGGGATCACTCTCGAGGCTGGCGCCGTCCCTCCKCGTGGATGTATCTACCGCATGAGCGAAGAGGAACTCGAGGTGCTTCGCGCACAACTCGATGACCTTCTCGACAAGGGTTGGATTTGCCCTAGTTGCTCGCCATACGGTGCACCTGTTTTCTTCGTCCGGAAGAAGAACAAAGATCTACGGTTATGCATCGACTATCGCAAACTTAACGCACAAACCGTAAAGAACGYCGGCCCTCTCCCTCGGATTGATGATCTCCTTGAGCGGTTAGGCGGCGCGACGTACTTCTCGAAGTTGGACTTGAAGTCGGGCTATCACCAGATTGAAATCCAACCTCAAGATCGGTACAAGACCGCGTTCAAGACGAGGTACGGGCATTTGAGTGGGTTGTCATGCCCTTTGGCCTCACCAATGCCCCCGCAACTTTTCAAGCTGTTATGACGACTGAGTTTCGCGACTTGTTCGATCGTAGCGTCCTCATCTACCTCGATGACATCTTGGTCTATAGCAGGACGTTGGACAAGCACATCACACACCTTCGCGCTATTTTGAATCGTTTGCGACTGGCCAAGTACAAAGCGAACCGCGACAAGTGCGAGCTCGCCAAACAAGAGCTTGAGTATTTAGGCCACTATGTTACACCGAAAGGCATTCGTCCCTTAGCGGACAAGATCCAAGCCATCGTGGATTGGCCGGAACCCCGTTGTACGACGGATGTACGCTCTTTCATGGGTTTGGCTGGATACTATCAGCGATTCATCGAGTCATACTCGAAAGTGGTCGCTCCTTTGTCGAGACTTCAATCCCCAAAGGTGCCCTTCGAGTTCGACGACGCAGCCCGTGGCGCGTTCACTACGTTGAAGGCAGCAATGCAAGCCGCACCTGGCCTCCGTATATACGACCCCACTCTACCCACCCAGGTGACTACGGACGCTTCGGGATACGGTATTGGTGCGGTGTTGGAACAGTGTCACGAGGACGGTTGGCATCCGGTTGAGTATTTCTCCCAAAAGGTGCCTCTCGTCAACACTCTCGACGACGCGAGGAAGAAAGAGCTACTCGTGTTCGTCACCGTTCTCAAACGGTGGCGCCACTTTCTTCTCGACCGTCGGCGTTTTAAATGGAATACGGACATCACTCCGTTGACCTTTTACAAAACGCAGGACACGGTCACTGGCACGATCGATCGATGGTGGAGAGAAAGCACGGATCTTCGCTGATCTCCTTTTGCCACAGGCTGCCGACATAGACGTCCCTTGCTCTCCCACTTCCGTTCGGAAGTACCGGGACTTGCTGATCAAAGCCCGCGCGAATATGCAAAAGGCTCAAATCCGCATGCAACAGCAAGCTAACCGACGTCGACTTCCATGTCCTTTCCGCGAGGGAGACCTTGTTTGGGTCCTCTCCGAGGAATTTGCGCTCGAGCAGGACGTTTCGCGCAAACTCCTTCCGAAATGGTTCGGACCATGGGAAGTCACTTCTGTCGTTGGAGACGACCCCGCAGGTCCTTCCTTCGTGATCAACATTCCACCGCACCTTACAGTGCATCGGGTCTTCCACGCGTCGAAGCTGGCCATCTACACGCCACCTTCAGCACGACTTTCCCGGACATCGATCACAGGGTCCGCCTTCTATGGACGGACATCAGGAAGTGGACCGAGTCATCACGCACCGCAAGTATGGCAACAAGCCAATGCAGTACAAAGTCACATTCAAGCAATGTGCGCCTGACGACACTCGGTGGATCTCTAGTGCAGACTTGCAGACTTCTGCACCCCTTATCTTCGCCAACTATAAGAAGACACGACTTGCCAAGGCAGCAACTCGTCCCACCCGACCCATCCCGGTATCGGACAGACAACTCCGCCCTCGCAAGTAACTCGATCTTTTAAGAGGGGGAGTGTGTTACATCTTCGACGCCACACGGGTCCTACTGGACCCGACTTAGGGCTAGAGGGACACATTAGGGCCTAAAGGCCCGACCTTGGGGATTAATAGGCCGGAAGGCCACGACTTGGACCAGATTACGGACCAAGCCCAAACGACATTTCGTTTTGGGCCTGGCGGCGCCTTTGAGGCTGCCGCTCTCCGGTTGGACCTGAATCGTCGATCTGGACGGTTCAGCCCCAA